TGTAACCTTACTATAATACCCCCTATTCCATGTAATTGCTGACAGTCTGATCATATCCTGCATTGACATTCACAGTCACCTAAGGAAGTTCTATTTCTTTACATAATGCACAAGCATCACGGACATCAAATATACACTGCCAATTTACAACCCTATTTACTGATGTCTTTCCCATAAATCTAAATGCAGATGTCACTGTTCCTATTGAAACACTAACCAGTTGAGCTGTCTTTGAAGTTCGTGCCATCCCGCCCCGACAATGAACCCTCTTTCAGAGTCACTTCTACATTTATTCTATTGTCACCTTTTGACAGAATCAATTGGACCTGGTCAGCATTTTTATACATGCCACAGAGCATGAATGGGTGTTAAATGCTTAATTCTACTATGCAGTACCTGTGTGGCAGCATCTGCATTTGTCATGTTGTCCATTTATTCAGTTCTTTTAATTTGTGACCTGCAGTACATTTCAATTGTTGAACACTTTGGTTTATGCCCAAATATCTGTAACTCACTTTCCCATTGCTCTCAGCTGGCCTTTTGTGCTAATTAGCCAATATTAGCATGATAATATGCTAAACTATGTGGTGATTATAAACATATCTGCTAAACATCAAGATGTTAGCATCATTATTGTATGCATACTAGCATGGTGGTAGCATTGTAGTCGTGTATCAGTGTTTAAGAATCTATTTGAAAACAAAGTTGTTTCTCAAAGGGTTTATCCTTGAATATTGAACTAAATGTAGAACCATACCAACTAGCCAGCTGCCTTATGGAACAAGTCTACTCCCATGCAATTCCGATGATAAGCAGTCAAATAGAAACCTGGAAATAATGAGAAAATGCAATTGTAAACTATATTGGTTCACATGAGTTTGAACATCACCATGGTACATCGATAAGAATGCAGAAGGGACAAATTGTTCCGTTTAAGCCATTTGTTGCCACTATTTACACATGAAGAGCAACAGGAGATGAGGCTTGACAGTTATGGTTTTCTACAAGTGATAAAACAACAAGAATTACAATACAGTAAACCAATGTATAACATAACACTTAACTAGGCGCCTAACAATCAAACATTTGGACTCTAACCAAAAGGGGTTAAGGGTAGGCCTACCAATACAAAAATTATAAAGTACTACATAAGACATTCATTTAACAATTACATGAAATTCATCAGTTAGGTTATACTGTTTTCTGCTTTTCCTTAACTAAAATTAACAATCCATGTGCACTGCACACTTACACACAAGGTGAAATCTGTAGTCTCAAGGCAGACAATCAAACTGAGGAATATAGCATCTACTAATATGTATACTAGTCAAGCATTCAATCACATCAAGTTTACAAATAACTATTAAGATACAGCAAATATGAAAAAGGCAATAAACTCACTTTGTCACACACAACCATAGATGTACATCTGAATCACAGAGACGGAGGGCCCTCACATGTGGTTTGTGTTGCTGCCAGCCAGAACAAAGGCAATGGGTGGAGCTTATAAAGTAGACCATTGATTAGGAGTGAGTGAGATCAGGGGAGATTGGGTGGGTCCTTGCCATGAAAATAGGCAGAGGGTTGCTGAATAGTATGGCTCCCACCTATAGCAATATTCATCCATCCATCCATTGTCAACCGCTTATCCTGCGTACAGGGTCGCGGGGTACAGCAATATTCAATGAATTTTCAATGGTATGTCAGGCACACGTTTCCATGATTCTATTAGAATATACACCACAAATATGTCGTTGCAAGATGCAACAAATCGCCTCGCAACAGGTCATGACCAGGACGAGATAAAACAAGTTAATTGTACTTTTCAGTGTAGACAGTTGCTTTAGAGGGGCTGGTAGTTGGATTATTATATTTGGACAGAGCCAGGCTAGCTGTTATCTCCTGTTTCCAGTCTTTGTGCTAAGTTAGCCAGCTGCTGGTGGTAGCTTTAGATTTAGCAAATAGACATGAAGGTGATCAATCTTTTCATCTAATTTTTTCAACATGAAAGCATATTTCCCACAAATGTTGAACATTTCCTTTAATGTAAACCCATACAAAGGTACAAACCATATAGCATAACATAAACCATTTTTTACCTAATACCAGATACACAGAAGCATTCAGTGAACTTGGCCTTATGTTTCTTTTAACATATTTGCAAGTTGTCACACCAAACTCTCTTTAGTATCAAAATGGTTGCAAGCCAAGGATAACAAGAAGCTGGCATCTCAGCATTATCATTATCAGTGTCAACACTTTCCCTTCACCTTCACCAAGTTGGCATTTCACTCTCTTTGTATAAAGCTTCTTGCCTGAGTGAGTGTCCTTCCTGTCTTCACTTATGAGACCTTTATGAGCTATAAGACTGTGGGCAACCAGTCAGCTCATACAGTATGCATACACACTCCTGACACACTCCTTACATAACACATAGTCTCAAGTCTGAGTTTTACAAGTTTTCCAATTGTCACTTTTGTACCAAATTCCCCAAACTTTTTTCCTGAATTTCCTCTCAACTCAACATAGAAATCCTGCATCACTGGTTGAGATATGTTCAAAATACAAGTATTATATTAATATAATATATTCAAAAGGTGAGTCAGGAAAACATAGAAGCTAAAGCATAAATCTAGGTTTAACATTAGGCCAGCCTGCCTATCTGAGGGAAGTCGAGTGTGGAATTGAAACTGGCAGCGAATTCAGATCCACACTGTCACAGCAAAAAGGAGGAGTGCTGCAGGCTCTCTCTCTCATCCCACCGTCTCTCACAGTCAAGTCCTGCACTTGTTAAACCTCCTGACAAGAGGTATTATCTTCAAAGTGCAAATCTGCAGACTTGAGATGTCTTGACTTGTTTCAAACACTTTAAACACAAATTTCAGATTTTAGGTGATAGAAAATCCATCCATTTTTCACAGTCAAGAAGATAATAATGAATGGTAAGAAAGCAGATAGCGGTGTCGCGTCTGCATCCATCTCTTTGGGGATTGAACAAAACAAACAATGTGAAGACATGTTAGAGTATGGAAAATGTGACCATCTTTAGACATTTTATAGACACAATTTGCACAATCTACACAATCTCAAAGCTTAAAAATCTGTCTGTAACTCATCGGTTTTCTGATGGATGTATGATGAAACTGTGGGAAGATAGCTTTTACCTGCATGGACTTCATTCTACTACTTCATAAAAAAAGGCAAGCATCCTAAATATTTTGTGTGTTCGCTATCTGGCATGATTAATTTGCGAGACAACCCTACCAACATGAGACAAAAGGAGCTGCTGTGCTGTTTAAATTCAAGGTGAAATTACCTAAGGCCAAAAGGCGTCAAAGCCCATGTGTCCAACTCGAATCAGGCCTCATTTACATGGATTTGCATAGACATAATGCTTTCCTCAAATAAAGCCTCTTTCAGGTGGAATGGATGAAGACATGCTGTATTTTTTTTAACAGCATCAATAAAAAGCTTTTTCTGTGCACATATGTGCATTGTACTTAATGGTGATGTTTGTCTAGCTTGGTTCTTAATGATACATCTTTAGCAGAAATCTTAATCATTGTCACTTTTTCAAAGAAAAATTGCCAGCTAGAACAAAAAATACATCAAACGTATTATCCTCTCACCCATGCACATTAAACTTCCATCCACATCCATCAATTCCCTCAAAGTTATATTTTTGGAATGACTTTTTTCGCACACGTCTGTGGAATTGGCATTTAATTCTGAAAAGAATAATTAACGTGATGCTTATAAAAAGCTGCACTTGTGCCTGAGATCAACTGGTGGCTCTGTGCTGATAAGGCCTCTGAACTGACAGGAGAGAGCTGCACAAGCAGTTCCATGATAACGCTCAAGTGTGCCTTTCTCCAAAGGCTGATTGCCCCATCACATGTGAAAGTATAATGCTGGGAATGCATCCATCATAGCCAAAGCCTTACTCTGGAGCCAAGATGGAGCTGCATTTCAGCTTAATAACACCCAGCAGCCGGCAGAGGTGTCTGTCCTTCCCCTGCAACCACTTTCTCTTTGCTTCAAGAGCAAACATCAGCCCATATAGGCTACTCCATAGACAGCGTTACAGGATCGCATTTTAATGAGCCTCTCTTTCAGGACAAATCTCCTCCTTTTTTCTCCTGTTCATCTTTTGCCACCAAGGAGAGAAGGAAGACAACATGGTGGACTGCATAATATCACATCTCCACAGTGAAATACCATGTGCATGTGTGTTGCAGTAACAATAACTCTTTCCTCCCACACACTCTCACTCTGACCCCCCCCTTCCCCCTATTGCAACCACAACCACCACCTCACCCTGCTCCAGCGCCTTCAGTGGCTCATGTGACGCGCCACAGCACACTCCAATGAGTCCCACGCTTCAGAGAAAGAATTCTCCAAGTCCACAGGGGCAGCAGAATCTGGGGGCGTCATCCTTGCTTCCAGGGGAACGGAAGATGCTGCTCCTTATCAACCTGATGAAGCAGACTTAATTTAGAGATATTTGAGATTATTTGAGTAAGGCATGAGGGGAAGAGGTGCTAATGTGCTGCTGGAATGGGGTGATGGTTCAAAGTAATGAAACCAGACCTTAACATAAATTTGGCTTCTATCAATATATTTAATTCCAAAAAATGTTTGATTAAATAACCTAGGATGGGAAAAAAATCATTTGACAATTGCTTTTTCATTAACCTATTTTCTTTTAGTTTTTTTTTAATGCTTTTTGATGTATGCGTTTTTTGTGCAGTGTGTGACAGTTTTCTTTGCCTGAATATGTTGTCTGTAATGTATTTATTGTCATGCTGCCTTCTTTCAAGGTGTTCTTTGAAAAGACTTTAAAGAAGAAAAGAAAAATAAATACACATTGAAAACACATCAATAGGTTGACAATGATAGCATCATTTAATTGTGTCAAAAAACAAACAAATTAATTTTAGACAGATGTGTCATTTATTTATTTATCTATCTAACATCTTTTTCAACCAACCATAAGTTTGGATTATATGAAAGGAAGGAAACTCTGGGGAATTAATGCCATTTGCTTTTTCTAGTAGGAATCCCCACTCAACTATACTCACTGTTCTATATCTTTTACTGTTTCTTCCAGAGACAGGGGAGAGATCAAGCAGCCCACACACTGTGCAGTGTGTGCGGAGGGGTGATGCCTCGAGAACGCATCACCGGACGACAAAAACCCACTGCAAGACGCAGTGCCAGAATAGAGCTGCTTTGGCTCGAGAGCTGGTTTATTATAGTTTCTAGGGAAAGCGGATGGATCGTCCCTACGAATCCCCAAACATAGTTCTTATCATGTCGGAATCCTCCTGATCATTTTTGCTTGCGTACAGGGACCATGTAGTGGAGAGAAAAAGGGGATCTCCACCGGTGGAGAGATCTGGGGATGCATGGACACGGTTATGGGTGATTAATGCAATTTTGCAGCTGCAAAACAAGACTGGATATGCACACAAAAAGTGGGAATAAGTGAGTTTCGTGGCACACAGGATGGACACTGCAGAGGTAATTCTCTCTGTGTTGGTGGTTGTGATTATTATAGTGTCGTTGCTGTCCAACGTCCTGGTGCTGATCTGCTTTCTGTACAACCCAGAGATCCGCAAGCAGGTCCCAGGTCTGTTCAACCTCAACCTCACCTTCTGCAACTTGTTGCTGACTGTGTCCAACATGCCGCTCACTTTGGTGGGACTTATCAGTAATGCTCAGCCGGGAGGAGACAGATTTTGCCAGATCGTGGGCTTCCTGGAGACCTTCCTGTCCACCAACTCAATGCTGAGCATGGCAGCTCTTAGCATCGACAGGTGGATCGCGGTGGTGTTCCCCCTGAGGTACCACTCCAAAATGCGCCATAAAGATGCGGCTTTTGTGCTCGGGTACACGTGGGCACACTCCATGTCCTTCTCCACGGTGGCCACCTGCCTCTCCTGGGTGGGATACCACCGGCTTTACGCGTCCTGCACCCTGTCCAACTCGAGTGCGAGCAGTCCGACCCAGTTTGTTATCTTCACCGTCTTCTTTCACTCCTTCACCTTTCTCCTGTCTTTTATAGTGCTGTGTGTCACATACCTCAAGGTGCTTAAAGTGGCAAGGTTTCATTGTAAGAGGATCGACGTTATTACAATGCAAACTTTGGTGCTGCTGGTGGATATACACCCGAGGTGAGCTCTCCTAGCATATTATTCATACTTGTGTCACTCCTTTATCAGGAACCTTTTACTGACCTCTGCAATGTAGATTTACATTTAGTATAATCTTTTTTATGTAACTCTGCCAACTGAACAATCTTGTTCTTAGAAAAAAGTAAGAACAAACTGTACATATCAATCCTCTGGTCAAAATGGGGAATATAACACCTTGGGAGCACTTAGTGAAGGCTAGCTGGTGCCATAATTCCTTTTCACATGTATATTAAAGCCTGAAAGGACACTGTTCTGTACTGTAATACATAACTTTTGCAAAGTCTGATATCTGAATGTCCACTCACATTTGTGTCCTCAGTATTCAGAGAGGATGCCATCAAAAGTCATCCAGAGTGATTGCTTTACTCTACCTCCATACAATATAACTTCAAACCAATATATGTTTTTGTGTTTGTGTGTGTGTGTGTGTGTGTGTGTGTGTGTGTGTGTGCGGCTTTGTTACATACTACAGATCACAGCTACTGTGTATAAGGTGCATGCTGGTGTTATAACTCCTGCCTGTTGTTACTCACAAGCTGTCTATCATTATGACAACACAACACATATAGAAGGTGTTTAACTTATAATTCTTGCACATATTCCTTATTATTCTTTATATTATTTCTCTCTCTCTCTCTCTCTCTCTCTCTCTCTCTCTCTCTCTCTCTCTCTCTCTCTCTCTCTCTCTATATATATATATATATATATATATATATATATATATATTTATCCCATGTCAATTTAATATTTTATATTTATACATTTTATACCATTGTTATGTGCCAAGTCACCAAAAGTAAATTCCTTGTGTAAATAAGGCTGATTCTTCTTTGTGTTACATAAGTATCTTTGGGATAAATGCATTATTTTACCTCAGGTCAGCCTCTGCTGGCTGCCCCTATATTTAACCCCTGCACAACAGAAATAAACACAAGTACACCCACTCCTGGCTTTCTGTATGAGCATTTTAGAGACACTATGTGGTCTCCCCTGAGTGTGTCCCACTTATTATAAACCATCTGAACTCTCTGTATTTCCAGTGTTCGCCAGCGTTGCCTGGAGGAGCAGAAGAGGCGACGACAGAGAGCAACAAGGAAGATCAGCACCTTCATCGGCACCTTCATGCTCTGTTTCGCTCCTTATGTGATCACAAGGTGAGTGTTTGAGAGAGACCCATGCAGGGGGTAGAGGGAAACCACGCTGAGACACTGCAGCTCATGCTGGTATCCCCCTAACCTCTGTTGTAAACCCCTCCTCGCTGCCTCCTTTGTGCTTCCTCTCTGCTCCTCTCTACACCGGCCGGAATTGGAAGATGAGATTGGCTGACCTTGTGATAAATAATATGCCTCTGCTCTGCTGTTGCTGCTGCATTCGCACTTTTCTCCTCAAGTTCGTAGGGTGCATCAGTTAGTGAGGTAGACTGTACTCACATCAATCACTGGACAAACAGATGCATGATGTCACATGAGGCCTAATGAGTCTGAAACACAGAAGTGATGTCCGAGTGGACATGTGAGAAGAAAGTTTTATTTTTTTAATTAAAATCATGCAAAGGACATGAGAATATACAATAATGTAGAGTGCAGGGACAAGAAAAACTCTCATGGATTCATCACATCTACTATACAGTATTTAAAATATCCAAGATACATGTAGATGATGTTTTAAAAAAAAGGATCTGCAATGCAATAAGTAAGTCAGAAAACATACCTGTGCCCCTAACCCATTCTACATACAACTTTAAAAAGTGACAAAATAAAGTAAAGTATTTAGATATACCAGAAAAAAATTAACAAATTGTGAATGGTATAACAGCTCTCCTTTTTCAAATTTATGCAGCAGTGGCCTTCTAAAATCGCAGTTTGATTGACATTCAATGTCACTAATATTGTTACTGTAATACAGTAACAGGAGCTTTGTCCCAAATCCATACTACATACTAACTATATACAGTATGTACTACATACTAATCATCATAGTATACTTTAGTATTTTTTTTTTTTTTAAAACATACTTAACCACTTTACATTAACAGGAAATTACATCCATCAAACTACAACTTTGGAAAGTCGCTTCAAGTAAAACTTCAGAGATAGAGTCTTTGTGAAAGATCTTTCTGAGAACTTTCAAAAATCAGTTGTATTTAATTTAATTGGCAGACTTTCCGGTTTGAGTATACTTAATTTTGTCACTTTTCCAGAGTGAACACACATACACTATATATATATATATATATACCTGCCAAAGGTCGAAATTCATTTGAACCATTCAGACTCTGTGAGGTGAGACAGTTGCTGTGGCAAAAAGATCATATATATACATGTATATGTATATGTATATATACATATACATATACATGTATATATATATATCCCTGTGCACAGCAACAACAATCTGCTGGTAGATAGCAGGATGAGGCTATGAAAAATCAAAAACAACATTACATTTTTCTATTACATTTTTCTCAGGTATATACATTTATAAAATCAACATCTTATACAAAATATTAAAACAGCACAAATGTGATTAGTATATATATAATATATATATTATATATATATTAAACATACATGAGTCACAAGAATTACATCATCACAGGAATGAGCTAAAATCTAGTGTCTCATTAAGTCCATGAGGCTCAATCGTTCAATTCATGAATCAACTCTTGGATTAGGACTCAATCTTTCAATGCCAATACATTTAAGGGAAGTAGCTGAACCACGTTTTTTCTCTTTATCAATGGCATAATCCATGTTCCCATTTCTAACGGCAACCTTATGCTCTGCCACTCTCAATTTAAGATTCCTTTTAGTTTGGCCCACATACATTAAGCCACATGGACATTATTTTATGTTATATTTTTTTCCTGAATGTGGGTGATTAAATGTTTTGTCCAAATGTGTTTGAACAATGTGCACATTTGCCACATCTAGTTCCCATAAAGCTTTAGTGAAAGCCAACTAGTTTGTGTGGGTTCTCTATACATAGAACTGACAACAAAATCTAATTTCTGCCTCTCCTGAAGCAAAAATGAGGTCTAGAAACTGATAAATGGTTCAAATGTGGGTCACATCTTAAGATATTCCAATGTTTATTTATGAACTGTTTGACTTGTCTAGAGATGGTACAATATTCTGACAGAAATGTTCTGTTTTCAACAGGTTTAGGGGAAGGCTTCAATAATTCTTTCCTATCTTTTCCATTGGTTTCTTCCACAGCCTAGTCAATAAGTGCTCAATCTTGTCCCCGTTCTCTAAAGCGTCCAGACATTTCTTTAGCCTCGATATGATCATCCTGTTTTTCACTACATATTCTCTCACAAACTGACCATATGGCCTATTACTAATCACATGGTTAGGATGGCAACTAGGAGTGTATAAATTAGTATTTCTGTCGGTTTCTTTTTGAAATTGGTCTCCAGTTGTTTGTTTGCATTAACTGTGATTCGAAAGATCCAGAAATAGAACTTTTGTAGGACTGTGTACTGTTGTAAAATGCAGAGTTGGGTAAGTATTATTGAACCTTTAAACCTCATTGTTTTGGGCCTCAAGATAAAAGTTCAGCTTCTAGCCCACCCTCATGTGGAATGTTAGTGTACATATCAAATGTTACCAGAAGGGGGTTGTCAGGCAAAGAGATGTCTGTCACCAATTTTAGAACATATCTAGTATCAGCCACATATGAAGGCATTGTCTTAACAATATCTTTAATAAAATAGTCAATAAATTAAAGAGTTCCTGCTGGCCACAACTGACCCTTTGCTAAGCCACGCCCCAAATACACAGCTGGCCAATCACAGCGCAGTATAGGACTCGCTCTAATTCAATTCAATTCAATTCAAATTAGCTTTATTGGCATGAATGTATAACAACAATAAATATATTAAAAATAAAATAAAATAAATAAATGAAACCGTAACATGTGTGTTATTATATTATATATATTATATATATGTATATTAATAGACAAAAATAAAAAAATAATTATAATAATAATTAAAAAAAAAGAAATCCTTATCAAATGTGAAATTTGAAAACAAAACAATTCCTAAAATATCAAACAATCATAATCATAATAATTTGAAAATTTGTACAATTATTTATCAGTCTGAGTTTTCACTGGTTGTCCTCACGTGAGGAGACATATTTTGCAGCAATTATTTTACATTTGGGCATTTCTCCCAGTAAATAGGGGAGTTTCTGTGTGTCTGGTATGTATTCGAATTCATGGTATATTTGGGAAATGTTTGCGTATATATATGAGTGTATGAGTCTCTCCTCTTGTGGTAGCCAGCACAGCTTCAGCTCTAACTGAAGTCCGACACTTTCATGGTCGCGCTCCATTGACTCTAATGTAAAAAGAGTCATTTTCTAGCTTTTCTTGGCTATATTTTTCTAAGATATGGTCAAACGCTGTTCCTGGGGCACTTGTAATAGTTACAGTCGTTACCCAGAGAGGTTGATAGGAGAAGTACGATTTAGTCTCTTTCCTAAACCTAAAATAAATCCAGAATAATGTTGGCTGTGGATCGTGTGTAATGTTAGTTAGCTAACACTAGCTAACTTCCTACTCAATGTAATGACAATATTTCTCCGGGGAGTGCAGTAATAGACAGTGACAGCCGACAGTTTGTCAGACTTACCAACAGTAACTAAGGGGGGCGGGGCTTAGCGAAGGGTCAGTTGGTCTGCCAGGAGGATTTTCTAAACTTTTATGTATCTTAGGCATGTATCTTATCACTGTGGGTTAGCTTGTTTTTGATATATATATATATATACACACACACACATATTTATGGGTATTCCACAAGGCTAGTTGTCGAAAGTACGCTGATGACACTCTCCTATACGTATTAGCTCAAACCTCTTGCGTAACAGCAGAGACATTTACAAAAAAAATGAAGGGCGCATTATCAATTAACTCAAAAAATCATCTCACCCTGAATCTTAAAAAGATTGAGTCAATGTGTTTTCCATGAGAAATTAAGCAAAAGAATAACTAAATACAAATAGTCATAAATAAAGCTCTGGAGGCTTTGATACTGAGTTTTTTGTTAACTCGGACAACAAACTTACAGTTTGTTGTGTTATCAGTACATTGTCAGTAATAAATAACTATAGCAGCAATGTAAATGCTCTCATTTTGAAAATGACAGTTTACAGATTACAGTCTGAATATATTGTGCTAAAAGCTCCTCTGCTGCCTCTCTGATGCTCATTTGTTGTTGGGATCATCATGTGTAAAGTAAAAGCCCTGCTGTTGCGGTGTGACAGCTGACTTAACCTCCTGTTCACTCTGGTGCTGGAGAATGTATGGGCAAATGCCAGTGATGGCTACTGGCCCATGTAAGGCCAGTGTTAATATGCTGACAGAGCTTGATTGTGGACAGAGTAATCATACAGAGTGCAACAGTAGAGGATCAGCAGTTTTTTTATACCTCTTATGACACCACGGTAAAACATTTTAAAACTTGACAAAAATTAGTGTGAAAGCACCAATTTTATGTCTTTCTAAGCGTGACTGAGATCAGCTTCTTAGATATGCAGACAAACTGTAAAGCTCATTAGGTGTCCTTTTAATTAAACATACAGTATTTTACCTACCTAGTGTTTTTCCCACAGCCTGTCCTTTAAGATTCTCTGCTTAGCCCTTAATCTACTACTGTATTAAATAACAATCAAAGTGTACTGGCTTGTTTCCAGATACTCATTATTGCTTAGACAGGTCAGTTTTATTTTTCCGGTGACTCTGCGTCTTCTGACATGAAATGCTGCTAGCTGCAAATGAGAAATGAGATGAAATTTAGCCTCCCGCTGTTAATCTACACGCGTGAGAGAGAGAGAAAGAAAGACTCACGTAGTTTCACTTGACAGCTGCCTACATTTTATCTTGTGGGATTAAAAACAACAACTTAAGAAGTACTTACTGAGGTGACTCTATATATAAATAATCCGGCTGCCAATGAAAAAATAAATAGATGTTATGGACAGTAATGTCTTGCAAATGTATTTCTATGTCAGTAGAAGCTTAGGGCATGCGTGTCTTTTCTAGCATGTTGACTTGCCTTTCCACCCCTCTCTCTCACCACCCGCTCTTTATGCTTGCCTGCAGGATCGTGGAGTTATTTCCAGCGGTGCCTATCAACCCCCACTGGGGAATTGTCTCCAAGTGCTTAACTTACAGCAAGGCAGCCTGCGACCCCTTCGTGTACTCACTGCTCCGACACCAGTACAAGAAGACATGCACTGACATCATCAACAGGCTGCTGAAGCGTAGCTCCTTGAACACGTCCGGGCGCAGGCATGAGAACCAAGGCAACAACATACCGACGGCAGAATGACAGGGAGGGGACTGATGGAATACAGGATGTGGTTGACCAGGCAACTGTCAGTAAAATATGAAGCTGATTTATCGTTGACAAAGAAGAGAACAAATATTGGTTGTTCCTGTCCATGTCTCCTTGAATTTGGTCTGGCATGCCCAAAAAAGAAAAAAGTCACTACAGACAAGGGCACATCGCTGCACAGGAATACCACTGTGCTTGCATACTGAGTGCCCAGAACAACAGATCAGTGCAGTGAACTTGTTGTGAGGACAATAACCAACGGCAGATTTCGCATCCACCTGGAGAGACAGATGTGCTCAGCCAAGAAGAAATGCCAGTTCATAGCGTCATTATTTTAACTAGGTTAACTTTGAGTCTGATAGGATATTTATTTTGAATTTTTGTCTGTTGACATTTCTGTAGTATATATTTACATTATCTTGTTAAAAAAGGATAAGGAACGGCTGTATGTCTGTTTTAGTCTGTGTAAAGAGACAAGTTGATATGTCCACACTGTTTGTAGCACTGAAAACTAGCCTAACCAAAACTTGATACAAAACCAAATCCCCTAATTGTCATACAGATGAAAACATCCAGCAGACAGTGCCGCTGCAGAATTCGGCTCAGGTTATTTCAGACTTGATGGGGTAAAACACTCTCCCAATTAAAAAGATTTTAGGGTCCTTTTATTTTTGTAGTAAATTGCCTTGTAGTGTAAATGCCAGCGAAAAAAGAAGATTATGTGTTTTTTGTGTTTCATGTGTGTAAACACATTGCCTTCATTTGTGCTTTCAGCACCCATTTTGAAGGACATACTGACCCAGTCAAGCAGTGTTTTAATGGGTAAAATGGGCCTTCAAGCTGGCCACCTTTGCTGTCATGACTGACATATGCCCCTTGGGTTGTTTAGCCAAGTAGAGTGTGATTGACTGTACTTTACTGGGGTTTGCACTTATAGAATGGAGTAAGACAGTGCTTTATGCTTTCTCACACATTTGGGCAAGATGGACAGGAAAGAACAATGTACATGATAGCTTTATTTTCCTGTACTTATCAGAGTGATTACATGTAAACTAATGACATCATGTGCTATTTGCAAATGCAAACAATTCTTGAAACAAAGCAGCTCTGAAAGCAGAAATAATCTTTTTAAAGAAATAGTCTCAGCTTTATGTTTCTAAACATCTAATGCACACTGAATGTGAAACATTGATATTTCTGACAGCATCTTGAAGGCACCACCAAATATTTATTTAGCTAACAATTTATTAAACATGCTAAAACTAGTTAAATGCTAGTCAGACCCAATTAATCAAGAGAATTTGCTTGTTTTTGGGCCCTAAACTATGATCATCATCATGAGCATTTAGGCTATACATACTATAGGATGATATGACTACTATGAATGTGGAGAGTCAGTTACGATAACTATCTTAGATTTCCTCAGTATGGCTAGATTACAATATTTAAAATATTAGTGCAAGGATTAGATTTTATAATATTAACCGTCTCTGATCCAATAGTTTCTACCTCAAGAGGTGACTCGTGACTTTTCAATGTGGTAGGACATGTCTCAAACTAAACAAAGCAATAGATGCTCAAAATCATCCTGTGACACTTATATATATTAATATTATATACATATTGTATATAAATATATATAAAGAGAATTTATTATAATAGAAGAAGAAAACCAGAAAATGTTGAAATTTGAGAAGCTGGAACCACTGGATTTTTGGTTAAACAAAATGATTATGACTCATTGTTTCAGCTCTAATAATTTTAAAGGAAACATTAATTAGAAGGTCTAAACTAGTACAAACAGTAAATTATAAAGGGATCATCAACAAAGAAGGGGTCACTGACATCTTTTGCATTGAGATTACCCCGTTATGTATTTAAAACCAGACACCCACACCTGTTTGAATAATGCTTTGCACTGTAATGTGGTACATGTATGTTAATCACTATCTGTTTAATTCTCTGTATATCAGGAACATTTCAGAGTGGAAACTGCAAGTTAGAACGATAATAGGTCAAGCAGGCTGATCTTTAATTAACTGGAACAGAAATTTTGTTAGCTTCAATTCTCATTTTAATTATTTTTTGTCAAGAGCAGCTTTGCTTCCCAGAAATACTATAACTAAATCTTTATCTGTATAGTCAAATGTATCCATGCAAATTAAAATTACATTAACAGTGCTTTTAAGAAAGATACTTTGCAACCGCAATGTTTTTAATGAGATGGCTAACTATAGAAGGAAGACAATGCCACCTTTTTACTCCTACATTTAATACCTATTTTGTTAATTGATTTACTCTCATTTCTTGTACAGTACAGTCGTTTCCAGGCATTTCTTGAAGACACACTTAAGCCCAAGAGCCCTCTTGTCTGACAGTGACAGTTATCCGACCCACTACATGTTGTATCTACTATATCCTTTTTTTCTGTATCAGAAGACGGGCAGCTCTGTATCAGAGGGCTTTCGACTGGGCTCCACTTGTTATAGAGTTGACATACAGTAGAAAGAGGTGCTTAAGCACCTTTGTTCAGAAAACAGAGAATACAGAATAACAATTATTGCGAACGTCAACTTTATGGACATCTGATTTTCAGTTTGCTCTATTCAATTGGAATTTTTGATGGATTTGGATTAAGAATGCATGCAGGGAGCCAACAGTGAGATACTGTTTGTATCTACATTCAGTGCCAAAATGATCAGTGATGCCCAGTGAGCCAAGTAGCTGCAGTTCATTTTCTTAAAACATTTATGTTGTTAATTAATACGAAGTACATACGTATACGTGAGTACATATTTGCTTTTATTTTGTGTTCAAGGATTCATGATCATACTACTACTGAGGAGAAATGGTTGTCTTGGATATATGATGCATTGTGTAGTACTGTATGACACTCCAAGACAACTGATGCCTTAAGTTCTGTAACGTAAGGTGGTTTAGAGTTTTTCCATTCACTATGGCATATGGGTATCTTGAATCTTGATAGTTTCAGGCTTTGCCTTATTCACTCCTGTTCACTAACATATAATCATCTAGAATCTGCCTCTGTATTTCTGTAACCTAATTCTGCTTTCCATGGTAATTCCTCGCTAATGTTTTGCACTGATGTAGAGTAACTATTTTTTCCATAGATGATCATTATGGTTATTGGTGAAAAACATGATACAATATATGTTGACTGATTTAGATAAATGACAACGTGAAAAGTATTTTTGTGTCTTTTTGATATACGTACATGTAATTTATGACGACACTGTATTTGTTTGAGTGTTACAGAATGTGCAGCTTAAAATGCAAAATAAGTTTTAACTGTTGTTGATAGTTGACAATGAATTGAGTGTATACCTCATTTTGTTATGGTTACTGACTTGACTGCCAGAAGTGTTTTGTTTTGTACCTCCTAATTTATTAGAACATTGGTGCGATGCTGCTGCTGCTGCTGCTTAAGATGGCTAAGATGACAAACAGTTGATGACGGTGGTGAAGTGATGAAAGGTAATGATGATGACAGTGATGGCTGCTGTTTCCATCTGTTGATTACAAGATGAGAGTATTTGGTTTTAATGGTGATTGTATTTGTAATGTTGATGAAAATGAGGAAGATGACTGTTTCAGATTTTGACCATGATGATTAAAGTAAACTGTAGACTTTACCAAATTGGTCTGGTACTGTGGTGATAAATAATTGTCCAGGAAAGCTCTTATGGTGCTTTCAGACCAAAAGCGAAGCGAGCGTTTGGGGCGGTGAGTTTACATACAAAGTCAATACAAAGACGCGTAGAGCCGCGATTTCCTGTCGGGCGGCGCAAAGCGACGCGAAGACGGCGGGGCCGGCGACGCGAAGGCAACACGAAGGAATTCGCGTGAGTTGAATATTTTTAACTCAAGCGAGAAAGTCCCATGACGCTGAGTCGCGATAGCCTATCAGTGTTGTACATCACCGACGGCTTCAGATTGATGTGTGGAGAGGACCAGGCAGAGCGGGCGATTGAAAATCTGCTGGCCGGCTGAGAGCTGCTAAACTTGGGGGAGAGGAGCAGGGAGCAGCACTGCAACCTTTGGACAAATAAACACCCGTAGTCGGTCGGGATTCTGCTCTGACAACTACGCCGTTTACTCTTGGGAGGAGCTTGGAGTTAACTGCTTTTATTAAATTAGCTTTTTAATTTAGTTTTTGGGATTACAACATTGATTTATCTTCACCGGAGCTTCTCAGCAGCTAGCTACGTGCACATCCGGTTCCAGTGTTGTTGTTAGCGTCGTTAGCTCTGTCAGACTACGACTTCATATTTATATAAAACGGACAAAACTGGATATTACTTGGAGAAAAGAAAGCGAGGAGGTTGAACTACCTGCTGAGTTCAGAAAGCATGTGTCTGTAACTTTATTCCGGCTATCATTGTACTCTACTGTGACCAAGTTAGCACAGAATAGCCCTGATCGATCCAAACTGCATTCATAAAACAAACATTTAAAAGTTGTTGTCCTGCTGTCATGCTGACAGACCTGACAAAGCATGAATTCAAATGTTTAACAAATCTGCATCATGTTGTAGTTATTTCAGCATCAGTTTAATCCATTTATTGCTATTTAATCACAGCAAAATGTTTACTTTGGGTTCATACAGCTGTAGTAATGGCGAGTTGTGTTTATTCACGTTAAAATTGCCTTCTTGCGTTGTGTGTGAACACTTGAGGCGAATGTACTCACGCGAGACTAGATTCTCAGTATTTAAACTTGCAATGTGTAACAAGAATTTAAAAAATAACGAACATTATCAACAGAATGTGAAAAAGTAACAGTTCTGACGTTATGTGAAAGACTTCTTTATTGTGTTGCAGAGACATCTAGTTAGATGTCAGTAGAGATATCTGCTGAAGTTATCATGCTAACCAGTACTGTCTCAAAATACCACTTTATAACTCAACAGTATTGCTTAGGTAGTTTAGTTCGCTATGATTCACATGCTCGCCAAAACCATCTTGGTTAGCGTTTCCACTCTTCAAAAAGTCACAGTCTCTGGTTTGGTCGAAATAAACCCTTAATTTACAGAGTTAGATGTGAAAATATTCTAGCTCTTCATGCTGTCGCTGCCTCTCTGATGCCTGACCTCCATCTCGCTTCTCCCCCGCTTGATGCCTCTCCTGTTCCTTCCTGAAACCGCTGTGTCTTTGTCATCCCCGGAGTCAGAGTCCTGTCCGGAGCCACTGTTAACCACTCGGTGCTGTATTCCGTGTCGGCACACTGACCTACGCTGGTCTTGGAAGCTGTGTTTGCCTGCTCGCCCAGCTCTGCTTCTGGTGCCCATACTAGACTAATATGACCGCTAAGTTCGCTGCCTGGCTAACTGTGCATGGCAGTAAGCAGCAGCTACTGACCGGATATATGATATGCAGCCCCCTATTTGAGTAGCCTCATAGTCCATACTACAACAGCGTTTTTCTTCCCCCAAGGTTGAGCTTTTGAGACTAAGCATGTAAATCTTAAAAAGACCAGTCAATATTTGTAATAAGTTCACCTGCATCGCAACCATGGTTGAGCAATCAGTGCCATGTCTTTAATCTACTTAGGATTTGAGAAACGTATCCATTTGGGGCAGGAAGAAAAGTTTGACAAGACTGAAATGGCTTTCAGCTTTTGTATTTGCAGCAATTCGGACTATTTCCACCTGCAATCAGTCAGAGCCAGAGGGAAGCGGTTTTTCTGTTCACACCACAGTGCAGGTGGTAATGAAACAACATCAGCACAGACTGAGATGGTAAATGACTCAGATTGTGGACACTGATTTCACGCGCCAGGAGCCGGTGATTATGTTCAGGTGGGTGCCTCAGACCATAACACACGGCTTAATCATGGTTTGCCTCAACGCACTCGGTCAACTGAACCCCCTGAGTGAGAAATAAACCACAACTCAAGTGAAAAGTGGACACCTTGCTCTGTAAAATAAAGGAATGTTTGTTGTTTTTCTCTTCCTAACCCTTTCACTGGAGACAAGGAATCAAAAGAGGTTAACTTTAAATCTCTGAAAGTCTGAATCGCCAGCCATGACATTTTTTTTTTGTGACTGACACAATCTGAAATCAGTGTAAAGCTAATGCTTTCAAGTGAAGTGAAGATTAATTTTCTTTTTGAATGTGTCATTGTGTCAAACCACCAGACAACTTCAATGAAGGCTGTGAATGTTACTTTGTGTTTCATCCAAATGCCAAAAACCCCAACAAACGTCACCTTGGCTTTTGCCTCCACATCCAAATGACATATCACTGAATTTGTGAAAATTGTGAAGGAGAATCCAGCATCTGCTTCATATATCAATAAACAAAAAGCATGTGGTGCTTATTATTCCACTTGTACCCTTGTTTCTCTCCCATAAGTCACCATATGCTTCCTCTTTGACTATGTGTAGCAGAAAATGTGTGACACATATTGTCACTGCAGAGTAATGACATATGTGGCTGTGGCTCCAAAGTGTCAACAACATATTTTAATGAAACTTAGAGAAAAGCTGTACTAGTTTTGGTGCAGATCAGGATCCAGTATTGTCATGATGGAGTTTTCA